GAACCCCCCTACACACAGATGTCACCCCAGATCTAAGGCCCCATTCACACTGAGCGACATGAAAATCGCGCGATATTGAGCGACTTGTTCCTAATGGGCTGTATGCAATCAGGAGCAATATCGCTCGAAAAAAGGGTCATGTAGGAGCGTAAAGCTACCAGCGACGAGCTACAAGATGTGAACAGTTCCATTGAAATGGATTGGAGAAGCTACATAGAGCGATATCGCGTGGAAATATGAGCGATATCGCTGCAAAAATCGCTCGATAAATCGCTCAGTGTGAATGGGGCCTAAGGCCACATTCACACTTGGCGATTCGCAAATTGCGCGTTTGTTGCGCGATTTGCATCTTGCGCGATTTGTCGCGCAATATCGCGCAAATGCTTGCATCAAAAAGCATTGAAGCGCGGCAAAATCCGCTCCAAAAAGGGTCCTGCTGTAGCGACACACGACCCGCGACAGCAGGACCCTTTGCACTATTGCAAAGCATTGAAGAGCGATATCGCGCGGTAAAAAGCCGCGATATCGAATTACCGTGCGTCGCTCAATGTGAACACACAGATGTCACCCCAGATCTATAGAGAACCCCCCTACACACAGATGTCACCCCAGATCTATAGAGAACCCCCCTACACACAGATGTCACCCCAGATCTATAGAGAACCCCCCTACACACAGATGTCACCCCAGATCTATAGAGAACAAAAAACACCTTAACACACTACTGCAGATTAACACATTACTTTAAATTTTGGGGAGCGGCATTGGAAAGAATTGTCCGTTGCGGTGCATTGGCGGCCCATTCATTTTTATGGGGTGTCTTAACACAATAAGGGGAATTTATCAGATCTATAGCAGACAGAATCTGTAACAGCCGCCCATGGCAACCAATCAGCTTCTCTTCTCAGTCTGTTCAGTTAAGCTTTGAAAATGAAAGAGAGAAGCTGATTGGTTGCCGTGCACAGCTGCTCCAGTTTTTATAAATTCCCCTCAGTGTTTGCTGACGCACAACTTAATGCATGTGTGGTACTGAAACAGACCGCTGTGAATCCAGCCTCGCCAAGCAGTTTTTTGGGATGGGAGGGTCCCTTTTGCATTTTTACACAAGGTCTGCTTTAAAGTGACCCTGTCACCTCAGTGCTCCTCAAACTTTTTTTTAGTCACTGCACCTTTAAAAGTATACAATATCCGGAGGCCCCCCAGTCTAAAATGTAAAAAAAGAAAATGTGTGGCCCCTTCAAAATCCATAGCAGGCCCTTATCCCAGATTGGGATGTGGTATGGATATTAAGGGGGGACCCTGCACAAAAATACAAAAATGGTGTTCCCCTTTCAAATCAGAGCCCCCCTTCTTCACATCAC